TGAGCCAATCTCTTAAAATGGTAAAATCTTTGTAAATGAGGCTATTTTAAATATTATAATGTACATAATCCATCACATCTAGAAAGATGAGGGAATACTAAGTATCCTTCAAGTGCCTAAGAAAAAGTATCGATCAAAGTCTTAAACGAACTGCTTTATTTATTATCATTACCCATTTTTTTGTATCATAATTTAAAATAAATCAATTATAGCTATGTTGTCATAGCAATCACAAAAGCCTTTAAAAACTGGTACAGAATGAGGGGTAGAACTGGGTTACATTAAAAAACAAAACAAAAAACACTTCAGCATCTCTAGAGCCTTGGGAAAAAGCAAGGTTTGATTAACTCAAATATTTTTAAACTTTATTTGTGATTAAGACATTAACTAAAAGGAAAGATATGGCGAAAAGAATAACTTTGGGTTTTAAAATTCTACCAGACCCACGTGACTCATCCACCTCAAAATCCAGAGGGCATTCCTATTAACAAGTCTTATTGCTACAAGACTGCTGCTGATGGATCACATTTTTCAGGTGTGTTTAGAAGTTGAGAAATGTTGGTAAACCAAGTTCTAGAATCCCTACACTCAGCAATAAAATTAAAGATAAATCTCTAATTAAATTATTTTGTGAAGACCTCTTTATCATCTGCAGATGCCAGACTGGTTCATATAGGCTCAAACAAGTATTTCACCCTTCATACTTTTTTGAAAGTAGGCAGTCTTCTCAAAGGCAAGAAATTCACCGTGGTTGCACATAGTATTCAAAGAGAACATACTGTGAGTCAACAGTACTAGCAGTATTAAGGCCAAGACTGCAGCGACCACAAGCTGGTGGTTAGTACAGTTATAGGCATTTGAAAAGGCTCACCACCAACACCATTATCTAGTTTCATGAAACAACTATACAAGAGGTCCAAATTTACCTCATACTATTATTCTGCAGGAGAATCAAACGTTTCTTTTCAAATAGGAAAAATACACAAAACTAAGCATTTCCACTGAATCTCTTCTCAACCTTTCAAAAAAAAGCATCGCTATCATTGTGTGTTCCTGGGTCTACCTAAACACTCAGGAGACTTACCTGAATAACACACAGTATATTATTTTTCCCATAACGACATTCAAGGACTTGAAGAAACTATTCTCCTTTGTATCTCAGATTACATCTCGGTGGCAACCATGGTAAACTAGTAGCACCTATATTTAAAGGGCTAACTTTTCTCTGGTCTACCATATTTACCCAATTGTGTTTCTGTGCTGAAGTTAGACTTTATTTTTCTACTTTCAAAATAAAATAGTTCAATAATGAATACAACTACACTCTGCTTTAAAGGGCCATAAACTTACAGAATTCTTAAATGCATAATTCATAGAACTACTAAACAAATGAAGCTACATACATAGCCCTAAATAAAATATAAGGTTTAAAATCCCAAGTACAAAGACCATTAAAAAGTTTATTTGTCAAATCCACTGAGAAAGTAAAAGCAACTTAACAGCTGTCTAAATAACCACAAAATATTAAAAACACTTCTGGTTCAATATAAATGACATCTGAAATGAAATGCCGCCTCCTCCAATAGAATTTCATTTGTTTGCCTAGACCCATTTATACTTCATTTAAGCCAGCTGGTGTCTCTGTTTGCCGGCATGCATCAATGCAAAACCCTTCCCCATTCACAAGCTGCAATTTCCATTTTTAATGGCAAGTTTCCAGCAACTACAATGAGTCCTTACAGTGGAATTTAACTCTTCATCCAACTCAATTCCTAAGGCAGACTAATGCAATGGTAACAAGACAACGTGTACAAAAGTGCCTAGCAAACTCACAAATGGGTTGACATTCACAAAAGGATCTCTTCACCAGACCATTCATTCATTCACTACACAATTATAAAAAACGTGTTGGATTTGACTGACAGTCTCTTGTAATGTTGCATAATATTTTGGTTTTATTAAAATAATTTTGTTCTTGGAACTGTCATGACAATCTTTTGGCTAAATATAATATTCTGAGATGTTTCAGAAACAAAGTGAGAAGGACAGAAACCTTTGACTCTGTTTTCAACTAACTTACCAGGATGAGTGCTGACACAGCTACTAGAGACCTTAATTTTCCCAATTAACTTCCCCATCCAAAACCCCATACACACCTCCACCCTAATTTATTTTCCTATTCATATCCACAGTATTATAAACTGCTGACACCCTAGAGAGGCAAACATTTTCTGTAAAGAACCAGACAGTAAGTATTCGAGCTTTGGGGAAAAAAGTCTCTTATCAAAAATACTCAACTCTACTAGTATAGCCTGCAATAAACAATACTTAAAGAAAGAACAGGCTGTTCCAGTAAAACTTTGCCAGACCTTTCCTTTTCCTGGTGTGAAGTTGCAACAGTTTGAAAAGTACCGATTTAAATAATAATCATCAAGTCAAACTTTGGAATCACCATCCTGGGATGGCTAAAATAAACTAGGGTTTAAAACAGATGTCCACTTTTCTGAAACTACTAGTTAAAGCTGAAATGTGACTTAAGCTACACATCAGAAGACACTGTAAGTATCCACAGAACAATGATAATAATTAACTATGTACTCTGAAAAATATTCACTTCAGTACTCTAGCTCTAAATTATTTAAATTACATTTGAATTCACAGAAATGAAAGGAAAACAAAGAGTTTCCGCAGAGTCCCAATCTTAATTTGGCAAGTCACTTTCCATTTCCAATCCTAGCTACTTATTTCAGTTAAAGATATATGGGTCTTCCTTTTGTCAAGTTTAGGAATCACCACTGTTAAAATAGGAATTAAAAAATTAGGTGCTGGGAAGTTATTTCCAAGTTTGGTGACAATAAAACTGGGAAACTCTGATACAGCACAACACTACAGCTCCCATTATGACAACATTATTACAAAAACCCACACAAGAGCATACCCCAAATAGGCCATGAAAACACAAGGCCAAATTATATGTAAAATGTCATTCAAAATTAATTTTAAAAAGTTAATTTTAGCAATTCAAAACTTTATAAATTTTGCCTGCTTTTCTCAAGTCAACTTTTTATGTTAATATTAAATTAGTTGTAATAGCTAAATAAGTATTAGCAAACTCAATAAAACCTAATTATGGTGTGATATTACAGTTCAGGAAATGACCAAACTTCAGGAGCAGATGTCAAAAGCACCTTGAAGAGAACAGCAGTATTTTGAAAAATGTGTATCTGAATCAGCAGGCTTAAACAATTCCAATCATTTCACTGTCCACTTAATTGAAATTTGAGATAAAGTGAAGCCAAATGTATTAGCCAACACTACAAATACATCAATGAAATGACAAATTTGCCAAGGATCACAATTCTTTCTAAGTAAGTTCCTTTTAAAGTGAGGACACATGTTGTAACTCCTGGCAGATTTACCATATATATAGCTCAAGACTATTTTAGCATTGAGATATACTTTAACTCCCAAATCTAACACTGTATTAATTCACCCTCTGGACTGAAATTTATTGCTGGTTAGCTAGTGCTATTTTTAAGTGGCCTAATTAGTTAAGTATAGGTTCCATGCTACCATTTCAATTTTCAATGACTTTACTAAAAAGACAAACTCTAAAGTAATTTTCATCACTAGGAGATAATTCTTAATTGTTTCTTTTTTAATGTAAAACCTAACAATAAATTAATGAGTGCCTTTATATAGAAGACAACTTAGGTATGGTCACTTAATAAAAGTGGAAATTCTCTGAAAACTCACTACAAGTGTTCCATAATATATATTTATTTTAAAGAATTAAAAAATAAAAACCCTGTAGTATTTGGGGAAGGATATTTAAAAATCTGATCCGAAAAAGACAAAACTAAACTAAGTTAATTCCAAATGGAAGTTACTAACATAGTGGTCTAAACTACTCACCGATTTTTTTAAGCTCAAGATAATGAAACATCTAATCAAGCTATTAAAAGGCTTTGTCTATAGGTCATTTTACTACCAAAGGCTCACACACAAAGAAAACAGATTTACACTATCAGTCCACAAAAGCCTACCCAGGCCTGTGCCAGGGGCACACAAGGATTTTAAAGTACGTAAAAACGGCATACACATGCAGTACAAAGCAGCCAAGAGGCATTTATTTCCCCATAGTCACTCTCAGGAAATATTTTAAGATGAAAAGCAAAAATAGTCTGAGGTCCCTTGGAATCTTGCGTTAATTTCTTTATTATTCTCAAGGCCTGAGTTTTCTCCCAACATACTTTGTTGGGCAGAAATAAAGCACTTCTAACTAAAAGCGACCACTCAGCCCGAATTTTCGATATAATTTGCTTTTCGTTAAAAGTTCAAGTTGTTCAAGGTCTAGAGTGTAGTGTGATCATATTACAGGACTCGGGAAGAGCATTTTCTTTGTTGTTGACCCTGCTAGGAAAACAGGTCTTGACTCAGCCAAAGTGGCGTTCTTGTGGGTGATTAATGACAGGCCTAGATCTCGCCCCAATGACATCCATCCCCACCCCCCACCCCCTCTGTACTAAAATCAGCCATGTCTGAACTGGAGGAGGGGCTGCCTCCTCGCCTGAAACCACCCAGTCCCAGAGTTAATAGCTGCAACCAATCGATTCGGGGAGATAGACATCGAGATTCGCGTGAAATGTGACCCTTCCCAGCTTAATTTATGAATAATATCGCCCTCTCTGATCATTTCCGCTGGGGCTCTCCAGTCTACGGAAACACTCCATTCCAGTCATTCTGTCCAAATAAATGGATCTTCCTCTTCCCCACGATACCCGGCAAGTCACAACCCCTACCCACCCCACTTCCCGACGCCCCCTCCCCGCCCCCTTCACATCAGTCCATTTCCATTGTGTCTCCGAAGCTGGAGGAGTTAAAAGAAATGTGGTCGCCCGACTACTTTGCCAAGAACTAGGGCCAGCCCTGCACCCCCACCCCTGCAGCCGCCCCGGAGCCCCACTTGCCACCCCGGCGGCCGCGGGGCCGAGTCCCACCTGTGGTGAGGCGGGACGAGACGTCGCCGAAGGGGGACGGCTCCATTCGGAGATACTTCTGCGGCGAGGCGGCGGCGGCCGAGAAGGAGGCGGCGGTGGCCGCGGCCGCAGACGACGGGGAGGCTGCGGCCGAGGTGGGCGCCGACAATGGCGCACATCGCTTCCGCTTTGGGGACGCCGGGCTCAGCAGCAGGTGGAAATCCAGAGTCCTTTTCAGAGTGGCTCTGCACGCCATGGCAGGAGCAGCCGAGGTGCCGGGCTCGGGCGGGGTTGAGAGGGGTGCTGGGAGGGGAGGGCGAGGGAGAGGGGGGAGAGCGGGGACTCGAGGAGAGGCTAACCGACTGGCTCAAGAGCAGAAAGGCGGGCGGCGAAGCGCTGGGGTGATGAGAGAGGCGCCGCTGCCTCCGCGGCAGGGGCAGTGGCCCGGGCGGCGCGGGCGAGAGCAGGAGGGGCGGTGTCTCCAGTTCACGCCAGTCGCGTCAGGGGGGCTCTTCCGCCTCCTCAGTCGCGGATCCCCCAGGAGTGGCTCCGGGCGCCCCCGCCGTCCGTTCGAGCTTTGCGCGGCGCCTGAGGCGCTCCTGCGCTGAAACCGGCTCCCTTCGGCAGTCGATAGCAGCCCCGTGAGGTGTGAGTCTGGAACGCGGCTCCTAAAACGCCCGAGTAGGGTCAGAAGCTGGAGACCGGCGGTCGATGAGGAGAGATTGCAAAGCAGCGGCGGCGTCAGGAGCTCCAGCAAACACGTCCAGCCACTTCCCCCTCCACGGTACGACTCTTCCACCCGCCACCGGCCCCAATATGGCGTCAATAACAACGCCGCCGATTCAAATCCTGCGGCGTCAGGGCGCGTGCGCCCAGGGCCGGCCACCCTGAGGGTGCATTCTGGGAGTTGTAGGTTTTCGCTGTGGGGAGGGATCCGCGCGAAAAGTGGTTGGGGAGGAGTCGCGGAAACTACGACTCCCGACATTCAAGGCGCGTGATTCCGAGTTCCGGGTTGGAATTTAAATCCCCCTACACAGCTTGAGTGTAAAAGGAACTAAGTAAAAGAGAAAAAAAGAAAAGGCTTTGAGAAACTGGGAGTGGGGAAAGCTAACCGGTAGGGAAAGCAGGCTTAAAAGACCTTTAAAATGTAGTTTTCCTGATACCGCTTCTACAGTTATTTAACATCCCGGAACTAAGAAACTAACAGCTCAAGACAGATTAATTTCGGTAATACGAGTGAGAAAAAAACCTGTCACATTGAGGGGCTAGGAAATAAGATTATGGAACCTATTTAGGATTGCAAGAGAGAACAGTAATAGTATCGGATTACAGGATCCTTGATTGAACCCGATGCTTTGCCTTTCCCAGGTGGTTGCTTGCATCAACGTAGTAATTCTGCAAAGCTAGTTTTACCCCGTAAAATAATAGGATTTGAACAACATACAGAACCAGGTTGTTTTGCTTTGGATAAAAAGCGAATGATATCAGAAATTCTGTTATCTGTTGAATATTGATGAATGTCTTGTGAACGGTTAAAAAAAAATACCATGTCTAGGGAGTAGATGTTGGACCCATTTTGTAAGCAGAGAAAACATTTTTAACTAAAAGTTGTACTTTTAATCAGGTACCTAAAATAAGAATCAAATACAGCATTAATAAAAAGTGATTTATGAAAAAAACTGTCACTAGTCCTTTGCCTATGTAAGCTATAACCAGTCCAATACAGAACTAGTTATCTATGTGAATGCCATATTATCAAATGATCATAGATATCAGATACTGACTTCTAATACTTTTTTGTTCCTGCCATGTATTCGGTAACTAAAAGATATTTTGTACTGTTTTGTCTATTATTCTTCACACCAGTTTTAGGTCAATATATTTATTTTTGTTTTATGATCACAATGTTTGTGTCAGCAACTAAGCTGTGCTAATTTTAAGATATTACACTGTTTGGAAAATATCTTTTGAAAAAGATCAGCATTTAATGAAACAGCAGCTTAACTAAAATTTACGTAAAATTTTACTAAATTTTAAACACTTTATGAAATCTATGATAAGGTGAAAGTAATAGAATATACATATTTTATGTAAATAAGTAGAAGGGATAGGCTAACCCATGGAAACAAGTAACAAAACATTTATGTTCCTGGTAAATATTTTCTAAAATTAAGATTTGACCTTAAATTATAGAATTTATATCGGGCGTGTTATGAGTAAAATTGTCTCCTCAAACTTCATTTGTTGAAATCCTAACTCTAAGTATCTCAGAACGTGGCCCTATTGGAATTAAGGTAATTTCAGATGTAATTAGTTAAGATGAGGTACTACTGGGAATCCAGTATAATGGGTGCTCTTATAAAAAGGGGAAATTTGGACACAGGCAGAACACTGTGAAAATAAAGGTAGACAGAAATCTAGGTGATGTGCCCACAAGCCAAGGAAAGCCAAAGACTTCCAGCAAACCACCAAAAGCGAGGAGAGAGGCATAGAACATATTCTCCCTCAATCCACCAAAGGAACCAACCCTGCTCAAACCTTAATCTCAGAGTTCTACTCTCCAGAACTGTGAGACAATAAATTTTTATTGTTTAAGCCATCCAATTTATGGTACTTGGTTACAGCAGCCCTAGGAAACTAATGCAGGGGGTTTGTGCTTATTTGAGCTACAGTGGACTGTCTGGAAAATTAAGAAAGAGTTGTATGTAAAGGTGGTAGGGGGTATCTGGTAAATGACATTTTAGTTATAACAGCTGCCAGTGCCATCACCACTGCACAGCATATCTGCATAAGGCTCTGTTATGATTAAACAGTGACAGGGTTGGAGCAACCTCCCCTTTTACTAATGGCTAAGAAGCCGAGAGGAACAAGATGAACTGTTCTCTATTCATTTCTGTGTCTTTGCACAGGCTCTCTGCTCCAACTTTTTGCTTGACTACCTACCTTTAAGACTCAACCCAGGCTAGCTCCTATAGGAAGCCTTCCCCCTACACTTCAAGGATGAATTTGTTTTATAGATTCACAGAGAGACACCTATCTGCATATCTTTATCATTGCCGTCACCACATTGTAATATAACTCTGTTCGTGAATCTGCCTCTCCCACCACTGTATTTAACTCCTTGCCTATAGTATAGTACCTTGCACACTTCAACAAATACATGGAAAAAACAAAAACATTGCATGTTTCTTAAATATTTTTTAATCACTCTATCCTCCCAGTATTCCACATTATCCTTGTCCCTTAAGATAGGAATCTACCGAAATATTATAGCAACACTTTTAGGGTAAAAGAAAGCTGTCGAAGGAAAAAAAAAACCTAAGAAAATATTTCTTAGATTAAAATTAAAAATAATTCTTGAAAGCCCATAAGCTTTAACATTGTTTAGAAGTGAATTTTTATTTTGTTGACCAAGACGAAAAGGAAACTATATTTAACACATTAATAAGTTGATTCAGGTCACATGAATCTAAATATATAGTACAGCTAATGGCTCCAGTGACCTACACAGACCAGAATTGCTCTTGTTGTGACTAAAAGGCCTATAACAAGTTTTAAAGGCTTGAAATATTTAGAATAGTTTTGTGATAAGCAAGCAAGCAAGCATTTTCCGATTCGTACAATCTCGGAAGCTTGTAAAAAGAATCAAACTATTATACCAAGATACTTGTCTTCGCTAGGCCCTAGACTTTTCTACCACCTCCCAAAATATTCCCCAAGATCTGATTCAGATGAGTCATTCTTTGACTAAAGCCTGTAAAAGTAGACATAGCTGGATGACACAAAATTTTGTCATCCTGAGCTTGAAGATCCTCGTCGCACCATAAATTATTTTCCAACTATTGTTCTGATGTCAAATAAAGATAAATGCAAATATGTAAGGTGTGGAGAGGTGTTTGCTGACATTGCATGCTGAGTTTGAGTAATGGTAGGCTCAGCATTAGGAACAGCAGTTCCAATTCAGGGGTTGCTTCAAATCTATATTCAGAACAAGCATTGCCTAGAGGCAAAAAAAATTGTTGAATCACTGCGTAAATGCATGAAGCAGGGAGGACAAGATACTGTCATTCCTTCCACATAAGATATTTTTCAGGCTGGCCAGAACCTCTTTTAAGCACCGTATTTGGAATATGTACTCTTTTCCATTGTAGATATGATGCTGTCTAATTTTACTGTGATTTCATTATTTTGGATGCGGTCATTATTTTGAGTTGATTGGATCGGTCATAAAGTAATTAAAACTGCATATCTGCAAGTGATTTCAAGAGGTCACCTAGAATAGTCCCCAGACTCAAGGCATGATTACCATATTACTATGATTGCTCAAGCAAAATCAGTATATATCTGACTCTTCTTAAAGATTTTCACGAACAGCATCCAAAATCCTGTTGTGAAAATGCAACTGCCAATTCTCTTATATCTAGCTTTAACCTCTTCTCCATCAGAGGCTGATTTCTACTTGTACAGACATACCTCGAAGAGATTGAGGTTTTGTTTAAATACTATAATAAAGCAAGTTGCATCTTTTTGATGGTGGAGGTTCTTGCCTTCCATTTTTTTAAAAAACAACACCTGTGAAGCACAATAAAGCAAAGTGCGATAAAACTATATGCCTGGATAGTGCATTATAAAGAACAATGCATTCCAGGAAATAAGCCATGATTCATTTATGGCTTTGAAAGAAACTACATGATCTCTGGGCAGTCAAAATAAGTTTTTATGAAGTCCTTATTTTAAAATTTGCATACTTCTCTCAAATATGTATCTTCAAGTACCTGTATTCTTGCTCAGAAACTATTTACTCTTACTTCACAGAAAAGTCAGCCAGGGTTGGAATCTTATTTCTCAGCCCAAACCAATTAGAACAATGTAGTAGAAGGAGAGGGAAATGGGAATGGAAGATGCTATCCACTGACTTCAAGAAGCAATACAAGCATTGGATAGCAAAGAAAAAGACTGTAAAAAATAACTACAAAATTCAAAAAGCACATAGCCTTGAGCCACTGAAGTATCAGGACAATCAGCCCAACTGCACTGGAGGCATTACTGTATTATTTCAACATCATATAATAATGGTAGGGTTGCCAGATTTAACAAATTAAAGTATAAGACACCCAATTAAATTTGAACTTCAGGTAAGTAAGAAATAATTTATTAGTATAGTATGTCCCAAATATTGCCTATGTTTATCTGAAATTCAATTTCTACTAGGGGTCCTTTATTTTATCTGGCAATCCTAAAAAAGAGAAGTGACCCCAATTCAAAACTGTGTAACAAATACAATATTAGAAAATGTTCCATGGATAGTATTT